TCACAAGTTAGCTGATATACCTCATACTCTAGATTGCAGCATATGGAAAAAATATTTCTGGTAGACAATGCAAGACAGATTGGCAGATGCTCTCCTCCCCATGTCCCAGGGCTGCTCAGACAATTATTGCTGCTTCCTTCTTCTGACAGAGATGATTTCTTTTTCTTATTCATTTTTGAGGGGAGTAGGGTGAAAGTACTAAACAGAACCTTTCAGAAGATTATGATTATCTTAGAAACAAAACCACTATGCTTCCAAGATTCCCTTTTTGCAAGGGGAATAAAGAGTTACCACTGTCTGTGGAAACCATGATTGAAGATGTTTGAGTTTGGCAGGGATATCCCAGCCAGTTTTTCCCTTGATAGTTTCAGGGTGCTGAAGATCTAGGGGAGCCAGGGAATGCCCCCAACCTCCCAAGATTTCACCGGGGGCACGGCAGTCCTGCAGACACTGCAAGCTCTGTGCACAAGGTCAGAGATTTATGAAGGAGCCTGCCCTGACTGCATCTCAAAAAAATCCCTCTTGAGGTCTAAGAACTCTTTTCTTTCAAGTTGTATTCAGCGGTATCCCACTTGCACAGTGGATTTTAAATAGGGAAGTGGCAACCACAACCTTCCTGGGCTGCTGGAAGGAGGAGTTTCACCCTTCCATCGGGGATGGGACTGCTTGACTGCTCTGAGGCATAGCATTTGCTCATACATAATTTCTTTATGTGACCGCCGATGAAACCCACACTGCCACTGTGCCTGCTTCAGGAACTGAGCACATTTCTGAAGGAGATGTCACTCGAAAGCCAGTAGGGGCATGAATTTTAATGAATATATTGGGTTACCCACTGGAGATATTCCCAGCGATGGGATAACCTAACATTTGGAATAGCTATCAAGAGCTAAAAATAAGGAGCAAGAGTCACCATTCAAGATCAAACTTTGGAAAAAGCACAGCACATGATTTCTCTCCTGTAATAGTGTAAATATTCAAGAAGAATGTACTTGAGTTAAACTATTTCTTCAGATGGAGCTCCAAGACAGTATTTCCCCATATCGAATATCATTTTGTAAGGGATAAGTGGTCAAAGATCTCTCTCTCCCAGCCAGATTGAGAACATATGGAAAGTGTCTTTAAAGAAATAGGAACAAGAGAAAAAGCAGCTAAAAAGAAGGGGTCTGTCTTTTGATTCATACAAACATGATGCTGTGGGTCCTACAGGGGCACAGTTTTTTTGGAGCAGTTTACAAATATGCAATAGGCCTGGAGAAACTCCAGGAGCAACTGGATGGAGATCTTGCAAGACTGCTTGAAATGAACCTATGTGAAGACTGTTGAAAGTGAATCAAAATCTGACAAAAGCCAAAAATGCTTCTGATGCAGCAAGGGACTGAGGGCGTTGGGCGTGCAGCCCACAGGAAGGACAAGCTGTGCTGACTGACATACCACAGAAATTCTATCTTCATGAACGCAGCTACTGAAGGGATGTCATCGAGAACCGCATGAGAGGGGAGGACTAGTTTAATGTGATGGCATTTTGAAGTCATTCTCCAGTCTAATGCAAAAACTTCATATCCAGGTGTAGCATCCAATTGCTGCATTGTAAAATGAACTCAATCAAATGAATTCAATCAAAGCTGAGCAAGCAACTGAAGAGACAACTGAAAAAATTATCTTGGCTCAAATGCCACAAATGCTACAGGAGTGACTGTGACTCAGTCATCCCAAATTGATAGGAACCAGAAGAAAAGTTTCCTACCTGACCTCTCTTGCAGTGGAATCAAGTAAATTTAAGGGATGAAAGTCAGATGCGTTTCCAAGCGTGTGGATAAATTTGTTTTTACTATAGCCTTTTTGGGGATTTTAAAAGACTCTACTCTCTCTGCCCTGAAGTTTCAGATGTACAGTTCCAAGGAAGCTATTTGAAAAGCATGACTCCAAGATAGTTAAACACATCTCAACCCGCAATCTTCTGCAAAGTTCCTTGCTGGTAGATCCAACAGCTCTGCTTCTCCTAGGGCCATTTTGCGTTAAAATAAGTCTGTGTTACAATTAAAGCTTTAATAGTTGTATTCTATGGCAGCAAATGGAAGAGGTGGACACCATCTGTGAAAATACACTTTTTTTAAAGTTAATCATATTCTAAATGAATGCTCTTCTCCCTCTACTTCCACTATGAGAAATACCTTCCTAGGCAATTTCTCTCATCTGTTGATTTTGAATGCAATATTCTAAACCATAACTTTCTCTGTATTCTCATCTTAAGCCTTCCGCCAGGGCTTTTCTGACTAGTTCATACAGAACTTCACGACACAAGATTTGGTAGACAAAGGCATTGTAAAACAGTCCGCTCCTGCAGTTTGTGCTCATTCTCTCTTCCACTGTTGCCTTGAGAACATATGCTGCCATAGTAACAAATATACAGGCAGAAAAATATTCATGGCACCCACCCATTCAGGCTCACATTTTCCATCATACTTCCTTAACTAGTCAGTGAACATCCTTTTTTGTGACTACTACTGTAAGATTTACAGCATTTATTCTCTCAGACTTTCCTAAAACATACTCAGTATTGCAACTTTTTAATTGAAGAGACCAGGCTTACTATAAAATGGAGTTATCCCCGTATTTGTTTCACTTAATTTCTATGTGTAGGGGCTACTTATCTCACAGAAGATGAGAAAACCCCAACACAACACAGGTGTGGATGATCATTCAGTATCCCCCTTTCTACATTTAAATAAATTGTTCAGAAATTTGTTTCTGCAAAGGTGAAAATTAACATCTCAAGCTATAGTTTACTGAAGCTCAAGCCTTTACACTGGATACTGCTCTGGTTGTCATGAGAAATGACATTAGTTGCCAGTACTATGTATTCAGCTATGAATTGGTGAATAAAAGTTATCACACCACTCATGACAGTGTCATTTAAAGAAACTACAGATGGTGCACAGGCTATCAGCAACTTTATTTAAGTAGCCCTCTGCTTCAATACAACTTAACTCAAGTGTAAACAAAGCAGAATCCTCACAATCAGAGCATGTACCTGCTGTAAAATTATTAGTTCACAGATGTTTACTTCCATTAATGCAGAACTGAAAATGTCCAACTGATGGTAACAGCTCCTAGCAAACTTTGAACCACTCCGCAATCTCTGCTTGGCAAACACGTCAATAATGAGAGGACATCTATTTCTTGATTATTTTACCTTCCCATTGTGAAAATCAAAGAAATGGCAAGGCAGAGCACTATGGTTTTGCTGATAAGGCCTCTCTACTCTCAGATTTCTGATTGAGCCACAGAAGGACTTACAGGACTGTCACCACAACAAACAGCTGTATTTACAAAAAAAACCTCATTAGACATAGTTTCTCAGGATTGCAGACATGAATCAAGAAACAAAACAGGACTTTTTTGAAAAAGTCCACAGGGAAATGCTACAGGTTATCTGCACAAACTCCCGTGGAACTCTGGCCATCTGAAGTGTTCACAGAGACCACTTCTCATAAAAGCAGAGTAGCAGAAAGCACTCTGCTCCAAGACACCTCTCAAAAGGAAAAAATTGTCACTTGTGCCATCATCAGCTTTTTCCACTAGTATTTCCTATGTAAACTGACCCAGCTTGGATATGCTGAACTTGAAATACACTGGGCAGAAAGGCAATAATAAGAAATCAATAAAGTTGTAAGAGAAGTAGGTGCAAGACATGGAGCATCCAGAGGAAAGTTGTTGACTGGAAGATTTCCAGCAGGACAGACATAAACTCACTGTAATAGAAGCTAGGGTTACATGGTCAAAGGCTGGAGTAGACATGGTGAGAGCCTAGAAAGGTCAGAGAACACCCCACTGAGACCAGAGAGCAGGCCACAGAAACACTGAGCCTCACCAGCCCATGTCCTCCATGCAGGAGAATGACCACTGGGCACTGGTTGGTGTCATACACTCTGTTAGGACAGGTACAAGGACACCAGCAGCTCTTCTAGTGAATAAGATAGATGCAAGCAGGAAGTTCTACTCTTCTACCCACACATTTTGGCTTTGAGGGGGTTTTCACAGCGTGCCACACAAATATATATGCATCAAGGTAGCAGTTCAGTGACAAAACCAAGGAGGAAATTCTCAATTCTTTTCATCTTGTGGTGATGAAATCAGTAAAGCCGAACACCATGTGCACACATCTTATCCTCTGTAATACTCCCATCTTATTAAGTGCATAGTATAGGTTCAGAGGAAAGCTATACAGCTCTCTCTCTCTCTAGAAATCTTGCTTCCTTCATTGCAGAAGTTGAGGGAGGTGGGGGAGACTAAGGTGCTGGGAAGTCAGACACCAATCTTTTAAGCTACGAATTATTCTTCTGTATCTCTAATTTGAGAATGACAGAATATTCACAGCTTACCAAATGAAATCAATCAAGATGTGTTTGGACATAAGTGATATATAAATGTTATGTATTCTGAAACATTAGGTCTTTTCCACTTGAAAAACAAGACTCAGGAGGGATCTTTGCCCCTACATTTCCTGATTCTCCATCTGCAAAAAAGGAGTGCCTTTTCTCCCCTCTCACCTCCCTGGAAGGAGGGAAGAAGAGAAGAAGGCTACATATGCGAAGAATCTGGCACAAGGAAATTTAATAACACTGTTTTCAAAGCCAAGTACTAATTGCATACAACAAAGGAAAAAGAGCCATATTCTTAAAGAATGAAAATCACACATTAATAAATATTGGCTCAGTACGTAAGCATATTTCCAAGCACACTGAAAGTGAAATCCTTTAAGAGGGAAAGAAATGATGCAATTAAAAGATGATATATCATATGCATGACTGAAAGAGGGGCAAATAAAGATCACCAAGTTGTCAAAAAGCACGAGAATTGTTTTCAAACACAGTTTACACGCAACACCCTGTACAATGGTAACAGAATATATATGTTGACAAGGTTATAATAATGCATGTTTTCATGCTGATTCCCAGGGAATAATGCAGACAAAAAAGCCACTTAAAATTCCGTACCTTGATTATTTCCACCAACTGATCCACACCACTGTCACCTGGAAAGATTGGTTGTCCTAGTAACAGTTCAGCCAATACACAGCCTGCTGACCACACATCTAAAAAGAGGAAAGAAATAGAGGACAGGGAAAGGTATCAGTAAAAGGTACATATTAGGCCATTTATATAAAAACCCTGCAGTTTTAAGCTACTTACTTTCTTCTTTGCCATTTTTAATACTGTAACACAGCCAAAATTAAAAAACATTCCTCTCCTAAATGTTAATCTAGAAAACACAGATACCTGGCATAAAGCAATGGCAGGCAGACAGTCTTAGAAGTCAAACCATAAGAAAATCAGAACCCGAAAATAATGTTAAATGCTGTAATATATTGACATTAAAACTTACACATGTAGGGGAAAGACCTGAGAACACTTGCCATCTGAAAATTAAATTTCCTCAAACTCTGTGTTGTTTTTAAATCACATTGATCATGAATTATGCATAGGTATAATCTACCATAATGGCTGATGTTTTACTGTTTCTGAATGTTGAATAGACTCATTTTTTCATCCACATATACATATATATATACACTAGCAGATGAACCAGTACTGCAAGTATTACTTGTATCTTGAAGTACATGATGATTAAGGAATCTGGTAGAGAGCCTCACTAACTCAGTCACATCAAGACCTAATCCTTATCCCAATTCCCTTTGCAAACTTGGCTGGACAACAGAACTGCAAGTCATAGATGAGGTCAACAACATCCACAGAAGAAGCCATCAACTAATTTTCATACATACGCCAAAAGCCACTAGCAGTTACTGCTTTACACAAAGAAATTTTTCATAATCTATTATAGGTATATCTTCTTACTTATAAAGAAGACAATTCAATACTACAACAGCAGCCTAAGAATGCATCTATGCATACTACAGCATATAGCATTTTATTTTTGAAATTGTTAATTTGAATGAAAAATCTAATGAAGCGAATACAGGAAACACTGTGTAGCAGATGTTTGTGAGAATTTGCTGGAAGTGCATACCAAATACTGAAGTTCAGGCCACTCAACACACCGAAAGTATTGCATCTAAATGCAGAGTACCGTTTCTCAAAAAAACCCAAATTGACTATAAGGTTTTCTAGAAAAAGTCATCATTTTTTTCAATGTGTATGTGAAACCTTACACTGAAATCTAACCTGAAACAAGCAATCAGTAACCAAAGATTTGTAAAGTGCACAATACTGTAATGCCCTAAAAGGGAAAAGAATCAAACCAGTCTCTCCCCGCCCATCTTTCTTCCAACTCTTGCCTACTTCTACAAGCTGATCTTCCCCATAAAGTAACAGTAGGACCACAACAACTCAAACCCCAGAGAATTTACCTCCCGAGGCCTGAGGTCTCCAACCTGAGATAACCCACACTGTGACAGAAATCCTCGCTCCCTTAGTATGTTTAAACTATGCCACTGGGAAGCAGGATGCACACAACAGTGTCAGCTATGGCTAAAGGTCTGCATAAGGAAGACAGCCCAGACAATTCTCTAAGCAGTCTATTATCACTTTGTCACAATCTCTAAAAGTCAGATGCAAAAAGTAATTTAAAAAACCCCTTTCAGGAATTCAAGACTGCTAACAAAATAATCTGCGAGTTAGAACAGACTCCTCCTTCGCCCATTTCTAAAATGAAAGAGAGGGCTTATTTCCCCTCTTTTCAAGAAGATATGGACCAATTGTAACATACAGTAGACAGCAAGCACTGCTCATTACTGCAGCTTTCAAAATCATTCACCTCCAAGTCAAATGGATGCATTTTTACATAATGCCTTAGTACAAACATCGCATCAGGGTTTATCCTAAAAAAATAACTACTTACAATACAAACAGGAACCAGAAATAATCTGAAGTTTGAGTCTTGAATTCCAACAAGCAAACAAACCAGATTATGCTTTTTGATCTTTTAGTCATAGATAATAAAAGCTGGCACGGCTACCAAGGTGCTAAGATCTCTTTTGGACAATTAATGGAGGTGACATCACGTGAAGACCCTTTAATTACATCTGATGCTAAATATAACATCTCTCTGATAGCTCCTGCTGTTGGACCAACATGTACAACAAAAGATGATGCAAAGAATCACTTTAGATGTCATCCCATGCATGTTGGGCTGATAGGAAAATACACAACAGCACAGATTTCTTCAGAAGTATTGAAGAACAGATTAAATGTACTAAGCAGTCAGAGTACTGCAACTTAAAAGGCACCTTAAAGGGTTTTGAAAAAGCTGAGTCCTTTAGACTAAGTATATAAAACAAGTGGTACCCCAAAGCTGTAATCATTATTTACAACTTCAATCCTTACTTTGCACTGAAAAAGAAACAATTTACAGGAAGGGAAAAGTATCTGACAGTACATATGCAAAATCAGAGTAAGTCAGCATTCCCAACTCACTTCCTTTAAAAATTTTGAAACTATGCTAGCGTGATTTTTTTCAAATTAGACTGTGGCTTTTTAAAACTGTTCTGGTCTGGCTGCTCCACGAAGTTGGCTTTGTATGGTTTTATCCTTTCCCAGTCTCTGTAAATGCCTTCATGCTCCACCAGCCAATTTCAGCCAAGTCTGAAAGGCAGAAGTATGGAAACCATTGCAGAAGTTTTGTAAAAACAGTGGGGAGACCGTGCATTCATGTTGCTGCTGAGGAGAGAAGGGCTCAGTCCCTGCAGGACGCGCCAAGCTTGTCCCCACTCTGCCAAACTGCAGCTGCAGACAAGTTGAAGGATGTGCAGGTCTTTGCTCAAAGGAAAAGGCCAAGCAGAAAGAGTGGACAAGAAAGCTGAGGACATCACAAGGGGAGAGAGGAGAAAAAGGATGTAGGTAATGAGGAAATAGATGGCAAGGTCTGAGGAATACTTGCTGTATTTGCGATGGGTTTAATCCATCAAACATACAACAAATTTATTGGAAATGTATGTAGTTGGTCCTCGCGCAGTGAAATCTTCCAAATTGGGTGATTTTATGCCTTGTTAAAAGTCAATTTATTTTTCCTTGATTTTACTTGCTAACACTTTAAACACACACTGAAATAAGCTACAGGGATTCCAAAATCCCCAACTGTTTTTCCACGTGTGTAATTTCACTAACTTCCAAATTAGGACTTGGGCAATGTTCCCTGGGCAAGGAAGTGAACGAACCCTTGAAGCATCCTCAACTAAAGCCAGAGAGCAGAAGGTAACTTCAGCAGCTCCAAGCAGGGCCGGCAACAAAACACAATTTACATCGGTGTTTATACGATTCTGGTGAGCAATGTACAAAAAGGAAGAAACTGGGAAATTTCAGCTCTGCTGAAACTTGATGGAATTTATGCCATCGACTTTAACAGGACTAAGATTTTGCTCCAGTATAGTTTGCCTCTTTGCCCCCTCCCCCTTTTTTTTTTTTTCTTTTTTCTTTTGAATCTGGCATTTTGAAATTTGTCTTCCCCAATTGGATGGTAACATTTCTCTCAAGCCTGAAGTAAACAATGTACCACATTCTATATTCAAAGACGGTATTTAAAAGAAGTGAGAAGGTACTTAATATTAGGTTTTGATAGCTTATTCCTAGCCCCTTTTCTTCCTTAGCACAGTCAGAGTTTAACTATTACAGACTAATAGTCTTTCAGAGCAAGCTGAGGGTGTAACTACAGAAGGTACTTAATATTAGGTTTTGATAGCTTCTTCCTAGCCCCTTTTCTTCCTTAGCACAGAGTTTAACTATTACAGACTATTACAGTCTTTCAGAGCAAGCTGAGGGTATAACTACCTTCTTCCTTAGCACAGTCAGAGTTTAACTATTACAGACTAATAGTCTTTCAGAGCAAGCTGAGGGTGTAACTACATGTTCCCATGGGAAGAGAAGCATTTTCTAAACTTAACATGTGCAGTAAGGCACACATGTCTGTATGTGTATGACCATCATTCACATGCTTTAAACTAATTAATAAACAATGTAAGTGAGAACCATAACAGAAAACACTAATCAAGCCAACAAATGATCCTTATGCCAAACTAGTTAGGACAATGTGAAATTCTGGGAGAGAATACTGGAAGCTATTAATTTTAAGCAGAAGAAAGTAGGCAAGGCTACCTTCTTCATACCTTTAGTGAAATGTAGTCTAAACAATATGGACAGTAAATGCAAGTGCCAGCCAGAAGTAACTCTCAAATAAGCTTATTGCAGACTGCTTTCACATGTTATAACAGTAGCTAAAGCCATACCTGTTGTAGACTGGAGAACACTTTAGACAAATACTGTTATAAACAATATGGACAGTAAATGCAAGTGCCAGTCAAAAGCAACTCTCAAATAAGCTTATCGCAGACTGCTTTCACATGGTATAACAGTAGCTAATGCCATACCTGTTGTAGAGTGAAGAACACTTTAGACAAATATGTGTGAAATACGTGCACCAATGTAAGCACACAAATTCATATAGCCTCTTATACTACAAAACTTTTTAAAAATGAATTTAAGTTTATATTACTTTCTTGATCTTCACAGTTGTTCGGTGGACATTAACTTGTCTAAAAACATTATCTGTATAATTCTGTTGCTTTTGAATGCCATTCCAGAATTATAGAAGGTAAGAAAAGGAAAATTTCTCTTTACTTCAGGAAGAGGCATCTGGCAGGACAACCTGCAAAATACATTCCTTAGGATAAATTCTACAAGCAGGCAATGGCCATTTTCAGTTTTCTGTGACAGAATACCATGTATACAAATCTCGTTTTTGCAATCTTACAAATTCTGCCTTTCCAAGCTGAGAAACTCTTCTTCACAGCCTGAGCACCACTCCAGCTCCTCTAACTACTTATCTGGAGGACATGAGGAAAGTCTTTACTTCAGGAAGAGGCATCTGGCAGGACAACCTGCAAAATACATTCCTTAGGATAAATTCTACAAGCAGGCAATGGCCATTTTCAGTTTTCTGTGACAGAATACCACGTATACAAATCTCATTTTTGCAATCTTACAAATTCTGCCTTTCCAAGCTGAGAAACTCTTCTTCACAGCCTGAGCACCACTGATTGTATTACGCTCCAGCTCCTCTAACTACTTATTTGGAGGACATGAGGAAAGGCAAATTAAAAAAAAAAAAAAAAAAGAAAAGAAAAAATAAGCCTGCTCTCATCTATTTAGTACAAATTAAGACTTTTCCTTTATCTGACACTTTGCGGGGCATATTTATATTTCTAAGTTGCCCTCCCCATCTATTCATCTCTGCCCCACTATCTGTTGATCTTGATGGACTTCCTCCATCTTAGAGGTGGCTCGAAGTTGCTGCCCTAGAAACTGTGGAAACAAACTAGCAGGGAAGAAACCAGGAGTCAGAAAAGCAGCCCTAGGAGGTCATAAAATCAGCAGCTTCTCGTTGCCAACTGCCAGAACACAAAGTGCTTTTCATTGATGCTGGTTTGGAACACTTCTTAGGATGTCAGAACAAGAGCAAAATTCTGGATTACAGGCATGCGTGCTACATCAGAGCAAGTTTTGCACATCAAACCACTGCAGATCCACACATAATGGAGATAAAATAAGGCTGAAAGCTGAAAACGCTTGGAAAGCCATGCTTCTTCCAGTACTTGGAACAAAAGCTAAACACAGGTATCTCTACTTTTCTGCAATGAAGAGCTGAAACTACAATGACGTGATAGATTAGTCCGCTAAATGAATGCCTGGGCTTATTTTCAGCATTTGAAGCTGCCATATGAGAGATCAAGGCAAATACTTTTCACTATTTGGCAACAGGCTTGGGACAGAGTTTGTGATTGTTCTTCCCCAGGAAACTCTGATACAGCCCAACTACACACACCTCCAGAGGAACTCCTGCTCCAGACTGCTGAGGTGAAATACTCTCTCCCTCAGTCCTGGTGCTTGCTAGGAAAGTGAACGACTAACTTCGTGATACTTATTTTTGGACACCCCAAGAGAAGCCAGAGATACAGCCACACAGATCAATCTTTCCCTGCCAGTGGCTATAAATGCTCCCTCTGGAACACTGTCAATTCCTGCCAGCATAGTGACGGAGAAAACACACTGAGACCATCAGACCCCTGTTATCCAGAAGCACCACCACGTTCTGGTGAGCCCTCCGTTGCCCCATCACCTAACCCAGTAAAAAACCCAAATGTTCTGTGGGTAAAACTTATCTGCGCAGCTTTTTTCTATGCAAGAGGATCACATGGCAACAGAGACATCTGCACCCACCCCAGCTCCAGCCCCTGTTTGTTCCAGGCTGTTGTAGGGGAATGTGGGCAGCCATCCCATGGTTTTTCAGCGGGCAGCAGTGCCCAGCTGACCAGCGCAGCCAGCAGCATGCCAGCAACATACTCTGGGATGGCGTAACACACACAGACCTGCGAGGCAGAAGCTTCAGCCAAAATGCTGTCAAGGGATAGCTGAAGGGCTTGGTCTGCAAAAAAAACCAAACCTCCTACAAGTCAGCTGCAGGAACAAAACTCCATGCCATCCCCAGCGAGCCTCAGGGACACACACACACTCGCAGAACTCAGTCAAAGGTGCAGGAAGGTCTGAACCATAAAAGCTCTGAAGGCACCCAAGTGACATGAATGCTTGTGTCTGACCATTGGAAAAAAAAAAAAAATCCTTAAAAGTTGCAATGCAGGAACAACAGAACTATAATGGCCCTGCTTTGTAGCTATTTGGCAACAGGGATTATTTAAAAACTTGAATAGGTCATTTCCCAGGTCATTATTTTAATAGCAGTCCTAGGCCTGCTGGATGACACACACAGAGGCATCAACCGCAGTAAATGTGTTTTGATGCTACTTTTACTATCATATATATTTATATACAGCACTAATGCACAAATGTACTTCACAGAAGTGCAACAAACACAATTTCTGGCTGTGAGCTATTTTTAAAGGGACCTTCTGGGCTAGAATTTAAGTCAGGCACTTTGATGAAATAATCAAGATCCTAGAAGTTAAAAGCCAGTTTATAGTTCTTTTGTGATATCCAGGATGGTAAACCACAACCTGGAATTATCTTTAGCTTCTGCTACACTGAAAGTAAGTAATGTTGCAAGGACAAATTCAAGTGCTAAAAGACAAGCTAGACCAAGCCAGAAAGCCTAATGCAACTCCCCTTACAGTGCTAAACAAGATGGCTAACTACTGACATGGTCATGACGCAGGCTGGCCGTACCGCCAGTCTTGGGCCAGCACAGTGTCACTTCCTAGGCTTAAAAATCACTTCCTGCTCAGAAATACTTCTAATAGTTACTGAATCACATCATGTTACAATTATAGGCCCTGCAGTAACGTTAGCAAACAACAAAAACCTTAGGAAAACAGCTGGATACTTGCAGATAACGGACAAAATAGTTATACTCTGAACCCTTTTTGGCTTCGTATTCCTCACTGATTTTATTTTTATTGTCATTTTAAGATAGTGTATTTAAATAGAAGAGTGAAGATCCCTACCTGACATTTAAGTTCGGTTTTTGTTACCACACACGCAAGTGAATTTTTAAAGAAGAGAAAAAGACTCTACAGCAGGAAAAGGCTGCTGTGCTAACAAATCAGAAGAAAACAGGAACTAAAACCCACAAGCACATGCACATTAAAAATAAAAGGTTTAAAATGCCACATTAGAATATGAAACATTCCACAGTTCCCTATACCTTGAGCTTGGGATAAAGTACTGGTAATTAAATGTACCTTCTTCTCCCTCTCAGTTAATAAACCTACCTGTGCTTGTTGGTTGGTGTACAAATAAAGCTGACTGAGTTTGGATGAGCAATCCCATGAAAAATAGGGAGGAGTTCTCACTAAATGCTGTTGCTGCCTATCTAGCAAGAACTAAGAAATACCATGGTATTTCACCACTGGAAACAGCAGCCTCACAAAAATAAACCCTTAGAATTTCTAACATATTACAGAACACTCTGAAACTGCAAAGTTTGTAAAATCATTTCATTACTTCTCAGCTCCCAAACGCAAAGATTCTGTTGAGAAGGAAGTGGAAGGAAGAAAGGATAGGAAGGAACCAATATTTGCTGAAATTCATTTTCAAGCTATTCTGTGCAAGTTTCAGAGAAAGGGCTTGGAGGGACAAGGGTTTTTTTGAGGGGGCACAAGAAAGTCTGAACCACAATTGAAGTTAAGGATGTTTTTGCAAATGGAAAATAAAACTCCTCACTTTAGAATGATATTTTTATTAGAACTACTTCAGAGACCAGCAGATAAGAAAACAAAATGGAAAGAGCAACTTTAAGAACGTTCTACAAAAAAGTGCAAGATGAAAGCCATTATACAGTTGGAGCAAGAGACATTTGACAGGCTTATCTATAAAGCAGTCTCTTCTGGTGACACCTAAAATATTTGTTTTATACAGTTATCCTCTGAAACAAGGTGTCTCAGTGCACTCTGATAACACGGCTTAGCCAATCTATTAGCTTTCAGCTGGCAAAATTAGCCAGGATCAGCCGCCTTCCTCTCACTCATGAGCTCCTGCCACTTTGCTTATACCTGGGCTCTGCTGCTTATCAGACTACACAGTAATGCTGATTCAACTCATTAATATAGCAGAAAGTTAACCCAACCCAAAGTCTCTTGTCAGCTGAAGCTGAATTGGCATATTAAACAGTAAACCATGAGAGCTAGGGGATCCAGGGGCAAGAAAGAGCAGCGCTGGGCTGCCAATTCTGGCAGCGGCCAACCATTAGATAAGTTCTGCCCCTTTATCTTTATTGTGCCATTACTTTCCCCAGACTCCTTATGGTTCTGCCTCTTTTTTCTGCCAGGTAGATACACAAGTCTTGCTATCACACATACTGAAAAATAACTAACGGAAAAAATATTAGTGAGAGCAAGTAAGTCTTCAGGAATGCTTCCGTTTTCAAAAAACTGCAGAGTTGAAATGAGTCAGACAGCCATTAGGTTTAACCATAGCTAAAACACACTAACTTTAAACATACTTTAACTGGTTATATTCTGCCAAGAGGTGATCATAATCTCCAAATCCTTTTGGACATCTTAAACCTTGCCTAAGCAACTCAAGTCCATAAGCAAGCTAGAAGCTTAGCACAATAGTGGGGAATCCAAGAGCTAAATCCCGTCTTTCTAGCTCTAGCACATAGGAGGAGGCCCAGGGAATATCCTAACTGAAAAACTGAGGAAGTTACCCACAACCAGCTGACGCATTGCTGGTCATTTTTATGATTTTTCACTTCGCTATTCATTTTTAGGACTCCACCGTAAGAAAAGCCGACTGTTCCCTGTCCTCTGCCAAAACCTCCAGCTTCCCTAACATTTCCATGACACAGCTACCTGCCAGGTATTAGAAAGAAGTCGCTTCTTCGTGTTCAAAATTAATGACTTCAGGACAGCATAAGTTAACAGAACAAGTTGAATCAGAAAGACTACTGTACACAATATATTAAAACTGTCAAGAGAGTTTGAAGCCAATCATTAGGCCACATTTTCCCTCCCACAAAAAAAAAATTCTTTACTAAAAGCAAACTATAGAATTATTTGTGTCTAAGTCACAACATATCAGAAGCAGTAGTTGATATTTCTACAGTTATTCTTTAAATATATTTTAAGTCATCAAAACGCTTTTCTGGCTTGAGATCTCATACCTAGTTTTAAGTTAAATGGCAAAACTACCTGGATTTTTTTTGCTTGAAATCAGACTTCCCCCCATACCTTAAAAAAAAGCCCCTTTCCTAATGGAATTGACACTGAAATCTCAAGAGGCATAGCAATCACAGCAGCCATCTACAAAATGTGTATATTTCATTAAGTCGTCATACCTGCTCATTTACAATCAAATTCTGCCTCTGGGAATTATGTCCAAGATCTCTGGAAACCTTTACAGAATAAAAACTCAGGCAGTTGGTACAGATTTCCACAAATACCCATACATACCTATACTGGAGGTATAATCGGTGGCTCCAAAGATCAACTCTGGTGCCCTGTAGTACCGAGAGCAGATGTATGAGACATTAGGTTCTCCACGAACCAGCTGTTTTGCACTGAAAAGAGAACAAAATAATAGCATCTCAGCAATGAATATTTTTACAGTATTGCAGTGCAGACCAACATTAAGCTTTGGCACTCTTCACCCACCCCCCAATTCTTAAATGCCGAAGTACCATGTTCTTCTAAGGATAGCAAAAGGCATTCTGACTTTTGGGCATAGCAAAAGAAATTCTGACTACAATCTAGGTGATATTTGGAGTCAGATTTTTGGCTGGCAGTTGTCTTTTGCCAGGTACAAAGGTTTGTTTACAAAGAAAAAGAAGACAGAATACAGTTCAGTCAAATCTAGTTACCTTTTAAGGTTCAAAGCTCTGGACACGCACCAGAACATAGGGTATTTTTTTTTAATTTTTATTTTATTTTATATCAGAACATTCTGGCTCTTTGCTGTTTAAGGGGGTGCAGTATAAGGAGACAAAGGAAAAAAACCTTTGCCATCGTAGTCACATGTTAATGGTGCATGATTAACATGAAGGCTTCATTTATACTGCAAAGAGATCAGCCACAAAGGATCTAACCTACAGTATTGCCCCAACCACTACCTTTGGAAGAATCTAAGAAAATAAAGGAACATGAGAGCACATTACTTTTGGAACATGAGTCCAGGAACTTACTGTACTTTTTTCTTAATTAACATGAACAGAAAAGACCCTTGAGACAAAACTGCTCTTTCAGAAATATGACATACAACTAAGCAGCAGCAAACCCAGCTGAGTGGCAAGCCAACCAAATCCAACGTTTCAGAAAGTCTTCTCAATCTTGAGGGAAGGATTCCCACTACCCATTTAGCCTGTTTTTAAAAAGTCTCAAGTTTTCTGTTTTCTATTTAGAAACTACCATTAACAAATTCCCACTGTTAACACAGAGGAAGTACCACCTTTTTATGCACTGTTACTTCTAAGTTTCAGTGTGATTCCTATTTTGCTCCAACACTGGTGAGGTAGAGCTGAGGAGGAGATTCCCGAGCCACCAGGCATGACGATGCACTGCTTGAATAACCACCATCTGACATTCCCACTCACTACGGGCAAGCAGAATTTAGCAACAGCAGCTTCTGTGACCTCTCGCACATAAGCCCCAACTATTTCAGTCTGCAAAGTTAGAGCATAATCTAAAGACTCAACTTTCCCAGAGAGAAATCTGTCTCCTGTCTCAGTGGAGATTCCTAGAATTTCTGTATCAGTGCTAAGATGGGAGCTGGACTCTGAAGGTGATTCACTTGAATGGATAATGGAAATAAATGTACCTAAGATAATAAGATGTCTACTATCTAACAGCTTCAATTAGAAGTGCTGCTTTTGATTTGCAGCCCCTACAGTATTTGAAATATTAAGTGAATTGGTATACATACAAGTAGACTAATAAAGTGTAACACTAGCCTTTTTAGGTTACTGTGCCACTGCACCTGTCATCTCTTCGCCAAACATATTTCACCCTAAGAATTGGTTGTATTTTTCCATGTCGCAGTATTTTCCCTATGCGACGGCGCATTTTGTTTTTTAATACCTGCATAATAACAGGCTTGAATTTTAATTCCCCCCATCTTGATTCGCTCCAGCTCTCCCCCCTCCCCAAACTCCTGAAATCGTTTTAAGAGGAAAACGGAGTATTGATAATTTATCTATCAAAACTACAAGTGAAGACCTTCTGAGGAACTCAAAGGGTGTTTTTTTTGGCAAAACTGCACCTAGGTTCACTTTAAAAGAAGCTGTTTTGGCCAGGCTTCAGGCCACAGATGCGCTTACCTTCCAAAGTCGCAGAGTTTTAGAACAGCTGTATCAGGGTCCAGCAAGAGGTTTTGTGGTTTTATATCCCGGTGGCAGATCCCAAAGGAATGGATATAGGCTAAACTCCGGAACAGCTGATACATGTACAACTAGAACACAGAAACATTGCGTAAGGCATGCTTTCTCAGTTGAAACAGGGTGAACAATTAATTTAGCACAAACTCTTTTTAGAAGAAAGCCAAAATCACTCCAAAAAGACCCCACTGAAGGCCTGTTAGTGCTATGAAGAAGGACAAGATATTCGCCTACCTTCCCCACCCACCCTTTGCCACACAGCCTACATGCTGTTCAGATTTGTTCATTTGTCCTTCCAAAAATGAGCACAACTTCAAAAAAAAAAAAAGTGCCTGCTTCCCAACATTTATAAATAGAAGTAGTCATAAAAAAAATCCACAAAATAAAGGAGTTTCAGTTTGCTTTATAAATCAGCCTCTTCATAGAAATGAAGTATTCCAGGTTATGTAAGGGGAGGGTTTGGGGTGGGGACAACAACCAACAAAGAAAACCCTTTAGTTGAAGTTATTAACAACATACTAAATGTTGCCCAAGGACTATGGTAGTGTCTCAGCCTGTCACTTGAATGAATCTCCCAGTTGCTCTTGGTGAGCAAGATTCATTTTAATTTCAAATCTCTGGGCAAAAAGAAAGGGCAGACAAAAACAACTGTTCAGAGTAATTTTATGCAAGGCACAGAAACAAGTACGCTGAAGGAGGGTTTGCTCTGCCCCTGTCCAAGGCTAACCAGCCCCTTAGCAAGGAGGAATACAGCAAAAGGAGGTGTTATGTAGCCAAGAGCTTCTCAGGGCAGGATTTGGAGGTTGTAGAGAGGCAGGGATGGTCTCTTCTCTCAAATCACAGGCAATAGGACAAGAAGAAATGGCCTCAAGTTGCACCAGGGGACGTTCAGATTGGGTATCAGGAAAATTTTTTACTTTTTTAAATCAGAGTTAGGTTGATGGCTGGACTAGATGATCTTAAAGGTCCCTTCTACCCTAGACAATTCTATGATTCTATGATTCTTACAGGGCAAGGGGATCATGTCCACATTCTGGAGCCACACACTATGAAGAACAGCTATGAAGAATAAAAAGCTGTTGCAGAATTAGGGCTGTATAGCATATACAGTTACAAAGGCATGGGAAGCCCTGTTTCAAGGTTGACAACAGGCAGCCAGGTTGTCATCTTTGTTATGTCTCCCCACAGGTTCCATAAAAAAAAATAATTTAAAAAAAATCAAGAAAGCTACAGGCAGGACATTGTACTAGAGTAACAACTCCACACTTTCCTCTTCTAAGCTCATTCTCCAGAGTCCACCTTTAATGGTCTGTAAAACAGTGTGCAATTGCTAGATATTGCTATCAGGTCATATTTGCCTCACTTTCACCACTATCTTTGTCTTTCACTCTTTCTTTCTCCCTTGTTTTTTGTTGTTCATTTGGTGGGGAAGGTAGGAGCGGGAAGAGAATTGCCTTAATTTTGGCTCTAGGTCTTTAGTTTTCATATTTATTTCTCTAAACCACAACTCCACACAAAGAAAAGCAAACAAACATGTTTTCTGAATTGCCTGTTCTAGACACGTTAAGTATGTATTGTGCAAGTGTATTGCAAAATAATCCAAAAGATTGCTCTATCTTGAGGAGTCAAGTCACCACACGCGGGATTTAGAAAGTATGCCTTTCATCTCCGCAGAGCAAACACAAAATTTCCAAGAATTTCTTACAGCATGTTAAATGTTACAAATAAAAATTAACAGAAAGATTACTAGAAAAGCTTTCCTGCAGTTCTTTAGCAGTTTCTTTGTTACCCAGGGAAGAGCTGCCCAGGTATCAATTAGAAGAGAACAAATACATATGATCTGACCTTTGTGTAGCCAAGATGTCAGGAAAATTGCAAAAGCTTTAATGACATCAAGGTAACACGATCTTTTTAAATACAGGATTATGAGAAAGGCTTGCCTTGCCAGAAAAATAAAAACAGCCTTCCAGGCTACATAGAACAGGAAGTCCCCAGTATCCAGCAAGATGAAAGAGCTGAAGCAGAATTTTCTCTCTCAGGATAAGTTAAGGACAATTTTTCTTAAGTCTCCATAATGAAAAGCAATTAGGGCAAGAGTACTAACAAAAGCTATATGAACAGTTTATCAAAAGCTAGGCTAACAAATTTTGGGCAGCATATGACCTGAAAACATGCCACTCTACCAACAGACCAAGCAGAGTGACCTTACAGTATAAATTCTTACTGCTGGATGATAAGATTCTGTGCTTTCTTAAAGACAGGTCCCAGAGCTCACTATTGTGGAGACATGCCATTTACAGTTTATGCATATACCGTTACGGTACAACACTTTGTTATTGGAATAATTACTATTTATAACTTTCATCTTTGTAAGTTTAATCTCCTTTCAATCAAATTGAAGTTTGTTCTTCAGTAATGTTAATAGCATTACACTTCTAAAGAGGAGTCTGGAGAAATCAATACAAATCAGGAATATCTGTTGCCAATTTCCATTTAATGCTACCTGGATACCATGTCAAAAAGTTAATACCACGTGAAACCATGAGGATTGTGGTCAACACAATATGAAATGGAACTGTGAGACCCAGACAGGTCCCGTGTTTGACCAAAGAAAATGGGATTTTATTCATTTTAATCACTTTGAAAAAAGACCACAAAAGATGCAGACAACTTAAGTGAGGTTTTGGGGCTACAATGTGCAATACAAACTTCTTACCCCATGTAGCTCTTCCAAGACAAGAGATCCAAGTGCAGGGAAAGAGGACAAAAATATGCCTTTCAAGCCCACAACAGAGGCACATGAACTCTTAGTCATATGCCAGAAAAGGGGGAAGATAACAGATAAGAGAATACTATTCTTCCTGACATCCTCTTTCACTTCCTGAACTTTGTACTATTGTGTCTTCATCATCTCAGGAAACTGAAGCTGCTAATCTTGCTGGAGTCAGTCTCTATCTAAACTGCTTAAAAATCAAAATATTCCTCCCACACTCGGTCTCCCCTACCCATTCCAAGACTTTTGTAAAGTGAGAAATCAGAAGTGCTTGCTTTAAGACTCTTGCCTCTATTCATCCTTCGCAGTAACAAATAACTATCCTAATCTCTTTCCTTTCTTGCCTCAAGATGTATGCTCTCCTAAAAATTTCTGAAAACTAATTATGTCAGAAAAGAGGTATCCACAGAGTCTATTCCTATAATATCCTTCTTCATCTAACCAGATCTATCAGTTACCTACCTTGACATAAATCATAGGGAGTGTCTGTTTGGCCCGACTATAATGTCTGGCAACTCTGTATACTGTTTCAGGAACATAGTCCAGCACCAAGTTGAGGTACACCTCATCTTTCTGAAAGAGAATAGAGAAAAAAAAATACATATCAGCAATAGATCTGAAGCATGAAATACAAATAAATATCTTTAGTGGGTGTGTGAGCTGCCACCAAACTGTTTTTCTTTTAGGGCTTTGCACTTGTGCACTAATGTGCAAGTCAAACTTACGTTTAAGGTCACATTAATTAATATGGTCTCCAACATAAGTCATTTTCTGATTATAAATGCAGACAAGGATATAATTGTTCTGCCCATTCAATATTTTCATTAGGAGATATTTCAAGGTGACACCTGCATCATTATTTAAAGCAGTCTATTAACTCATTAGTCCCTTCCCTGCCAAAACCCAACAAGTGCAAATTTAAAAGTCTGAAACTCATATCCCACAAACTCCACATCAAAAAAAAGTTTAAAAATTCTGCATCTTTTAGAAATATTACTTTGATCCTACTGAATTTCCATGAAGGGATTAATAATACGTATTGACCATTCATATACAGTAAGCCAGTATTAACATTTGTAACCATTTTTTTAATACACATTTTGATGTCACAGTTATCTCCAGCTTAAACAGGTGAACTTATTCATGGCAAAACAGAACACAACATAAACAAAGACTCGAGTATGGCTTTTAGTATCTAGGATCAGGTTAGAGGTCTGTGTGAACGTAACACAGAGAAACAACAAATGTAGCTGTATAATAAGGTACTTCATTACAGAGTACATTAGCAAAGGAAAGAAGGAACAAAGAGGAATTACATGACAAAGTACTATAATCACACAGTGCCTTACTGTGGAACTGAGAATTTTCAGCAGTAAAACAGGTCTTAAAAAGAATTCTGATATTTTAATGCAGTCTTCTGTGCAAATCCTATCAAGACTATGAATACATTTAATATTGGGGCTGAAGGGGTAGGTATAATTAACTATATCACCCTGAAAAAATATTTTTGAAAGCTAAGTGAATTCATTAGAAGTAATCTATCCTGTGCTTGCTGCACTAACAGCTAGATCTTTCTATAGAGAAAGACAATACATATAGATTTTGGATGGAAACAGTACAGAACTCCCAGGTCTTCAAATGGAGTCCCTTGACAGCACATCCACTGGCTATGTATCTTAATTCTCAAAAGCAAACCTCATTTAGCTATAGCAATTTAATAACATTACTGTGACTTAGCACGTTACTGCAAGCATGGAGTGTGCTGTGTTACTCTCACAGTGCTCTGTTCACCTGTCTCAATCCTGTCTCAGCAGAGAGCAGTACTCTCCAGTGAGAAAGGAAATGGTATGTGGTAACGCACACAGAAATACACACCTTGAATATACAATACACAAAGAACTGCTTGTCTTCAGTATTGTTAAAAACTTAGAATTCAAGATCTCTGCTCACCATTATTTGATACCAAAAGCTTGTCTTTTCAGTAAATTGAACAAGTTCCTGTGCAACCTGCTCTAGGTGGACCTGTTTTGGCAGATGGATTGGACTAGATGATCTCCAGAGGTCCCTTCCAACCCCAGTGATCCTGTGACATTTTAATAGCTCCTGCTAATACTTCCCAACAGGCCAAGTCACCTTGCAAGGCCCTGCCTACACCACTCTTCCCTGCAAAAATATGCTCCTTTTTAGTGTCATTGCTTAAATGACCGTGGTAATTGCAACAACACTAAGCAAATGTGAATGGCCCACTAACTTGTACCTGCTCTTATCCGCAACACAGACAAGAAGCAGCAGCCTCTGAAACCATGCTGACACCGGTGCCTTTTCCAGTACCACCCAAGGAACTGGGTAACAACATGAAGGAATCTACAACCAGGCTGGAGAACAAACTTTTTGAAATGGATGAGGAGGGACAACTACCAGCAGTGCAGAGGAAATACCAGATAACTTTGGAACTCCATGGATGTGCAAATGCATGCAAGAAAATTACTTCCTTGCATTTTAGCACTTGTTCCTCTGCAACAAGAGAAGTTCCTCCTTTCCTGACTTTCACTTCAAGCCAATAAAAATCCACCACCACCTTTTCTTACGTCAGAGCTTCCAAGGTATTGTTAATAAGTACAGAAAATAAATGGCCTGAAAAATCAAAGTAAAGTTGTGCCTGGTAATGCAACATGGATACCAAGAGAAAACACAGTCTCATGAATTCTGTTTTCAGCGTAGATACAACCTGATGAATACGTCTAATGTTTGCCTCCTCTTGGAGAGCTTTATTGGAAACAAGTCACTGCACAAAGTGCTCCGTTACTGGCTGATTACTTCCACTCAGGGGATTCATATTCCATGTATCAAAAAGATTTACATGAGATTAGAGAGACAGAAAAAAAATGAGTAGAAATGGAATTACAACGATTTTATTATCCTCTCGTCGTACCAGTAAAAGGAGACATGTAAACCAGTAATATATGTGATCATTAAACCACCTACACTACTTCACAACAGTGAGTTTTGAGAATTACAGAACTCTGTTCAGTTCATACCACCTTTATTTTTCTCACCTCCATTTTGATTTTTATTTTACGTTCTGTTGGAAAAAGGACTAATTCAATGGCATGGCATGACACCAGCACAGATAGATCAAGGCATCTGAAGCCTTGAGGTAGAGAGGTTGGTTTTGCACCCACCCACCAATCCTTGTGAGTTTTTATGCTACCCACGGTATTTGAACAAACTACTTGGATTTCCCATGGTATTGCTCCTGTGTATCACCCATTAGCACCTAGAATACACAAAGGCACATGAACACCTTTACCCCAACCAACAAACAAGTTTTGATGTACCATTTGATGTACCAGAACTTTAACATGCAACTACAAAGGCAAGACTCACGATGCTGGCTATATAAATAGCAGCATACTCCACTCCTACCACAAGCAACTGACACTTCACAAGCGCCCTAAATGACTACTTTAATGAATTAAAGATGATTCAAGTGTTCTGACCTACCTCCTCCTGATGTAACCTGGCACAAATCTGATAAACGCTCAGAATACAGTTTTTAAGAGCCCTCACCCTTCTCTGTGAGCATGAACTGGATGAAAATAACATCCAAGTCACCTGGATTCCCCTGAACAAGATTCAGTGCAAGCCAGAAAGCAGTCATGGCCTGACAAGCTCTGAGGATGATGTAACCTGGTTTGCCTACCTCATGCATTCCTCCTAAACACATATTTTTCCAGTGACCCAGATGTATTGCAATAGGAAACAGGGTTAGCTCAAAGAGCTTGCCAAATGAGGGCAACTGCTTGAGGATCAAGCGGGAGGATCACGGCTTATCTTTCCATTACAGGAAGCCTTTTTCAAACCTCACCACGTATTCTACACGTGACTTGTTTCCACACTGCTGTTTCAAAAAATCGCTGAGCTGGTAACCAACCAAGGTAACCTAACCATCAGGAGCACCTCTGAAACGCCTCTACAGAGACAGGAAGGTCCAGAGGAGACTGCATCGTATAAACAACAGAAAACAAACACAAGATGTCATTTAATTACTCACTCCCCCCTTACAGACATTGGAATTGAATAGATTATTAGCTTTCCTTGGCAGCTCAAATGTTTCTGTGCATCCATGTTCTCCTGTGCTTGCTGCTAAGGTTATGACCATGTACTCTTTAAAATTAAAAACGTGGGGAGGGCAGGGAGACAGGTCCTGAAGTACAGGATCACTGCATTTCATATGGATTTTGATTTTAGCAATACAGGTCATGTAACTGCAATTGCCTCAGATGTTAGAAGCCCCTTTTTTGCCACTTGGCAGATAAATCCTCAGTTGACAAACACTGCTCTGTTATGAGCCAAATAACCACAGCCTTGCCACTGAACTGCTCTGCACCTCTCAAGAACTGACAATTCAAGGACCACTTCACCTTGGTTGGAAACACTTCATATAAGTAAATTCTAATGCAGGCAATGCCGTAACAAGAGGCATGAGAAAGGCAAGGACACAAGAGCCAAAACTTTCTAGCAACTTAGTATTTTTCTTTGTATCAGAAATTGGAGATAAAAGAGGCTGCAAGTACGACTACCCTAGCACATGAGCATTACATGTTATGTGGCTGCATGGAGGTCTCAAACTCCATTTTTAAAACTCTTCTCTCCTTCAATCCACACAACTAACCTGTTTTGAGCATCATCCAGTTGAGCTTAACTGTGGCCAATATAAAGCAATAGCTATTGAATTCAAAGATTCGCTCTTCTGGATTGTTCCTTGCAGGGAAAGTCCAAATATTCCTTCTCTATGATCCTCCCCAGTTTCAATACCCCTCAAATTAATCCTGAGTGGCTTCCACCAGCTTTGATTATTTTTTTTGCCATGTATCTCACACTACATTTAAAAGTGCATGTATAAAACTGCAATCAACATTAGTCAGTCACAGTCCAACTATTTCCCCTTCTTAACAACATGATGATAGAAGCCATGGAATTCATACGTGCCAAACAGCAGACTGGGGGCAAAAGAAGAGAGGATCACAGGCACACTCTGAAGACCAGGTAAGCATCTAGTAACATGTTAGAAGTTCTCCTGGACTGTAAGTCCTACGTAGAATCTACAGAAAAATTCTGTGAGCATCAAGTAACAGGATAAAAAAGGTTAAGAAACTATACTGGCTGTTCTTTCTTCTAAACTTATTGGTCAGCATTTGGAAAGAGTGATGAACGTGCTCATTTCACTTTTCATCTTCAGGCCGATAATTAACCATGTGGTGGTGTTTCTGGTGTCCCAATCCCAGATCATTTAATTAAGCTAATTTTCACACGGACTCCACCTGACCAGCTGTATGAGCACAAATGAGAAAACATGACCAATACAGGAGTTTCTTAACTAACTTCACATTTGGAGAAGTAAATGTGGAACAGCACTCTGAAGAAACTCACCTTACCTGCCTATTCAAGCTAAAAGCATACAGATAAGTGATAAGCCTAAAACTAAGGAATATGCCTCTCAAAATTAAGGAAGAAAGCACTTCTTATTGAAATCATCCCCAAGGCACCAGTATGGGGGCTACACGAGATAC